TGTGTGTGTGTGTGTGTGTGTGTGTGTGTGTGTGTGTGTGTGTGTGTGTGTGTGTGTGTGTGTGTAGATTCATAATGAACACGATTTTTTACTATATAAAAAAGGCACCAATCATTTAAGACTTTTTTTTCACTCAGCATGGTTCTGTCACATCCAGATAATTTTTAATATTTCGTAAACCTAGAACAACATTTAGACTTTTCTTATTTGGGTATTTGTACATCCAGTACTGCCATGTCCATATCTTCTACAGGCTGAGACTAGGTTGACTGTCTGCACTGCAATGTAAGAATAAATTTAAGAAAATGAATGAAACAGTTTGATCCAAAGTGTGATAAATGTGCAGAAGCACATCTTCCTGTGTCACATTCTTTCATTTCTTTGAGCAAGTGTTTCTTGTGCAACCTTTGCAGGGGTGTCTCAAATACCGGTTGCTTCCAGTGGAGCAATTTATATTGTCTAATCCCAGCTGTGCAACACTTGGATTGTTCAGAGGAGTACATCATGAAAAGCWGGCTTCAGTCGTTGTGGCTCTTGACAGTTTTATCAAATGTTTGTGCTCTAATTGAATCATTTCCTTCATGCATTCTTTAGCTTGGAGTCAGTGTTTACAATGCTGTACATTTCACCTAACATTCTTTTAATTTGAAATTGACAGTTAGAAATCTGGATATAAATATTTTAAAATTGAGAGTTGCTACATTTATGCTAAATTAGGGGAAACAAGTTTTTATACTTTTAAAAATGTGTACAGTATTAAGGCTAAAAAAATAAATTAAAAAAGACTTTCCTTACCCCCTGCTACTAAATAGCAGCTTCCTGTCTAAATTTGTGGAAATCTGCTTTGTCAGACATTATATTCTGTAAAAACATCTTGCTTTATGTGAATGTTTAATATTTAAACATGGTAACACAATCAACTTCATAAAATGTTGGAAAATATGTAGATACGGGTTTTATGATCATTTAAATAAGGAGGCCTTGTTTCTTTATCGAAATGTCGAACGTTTGGGGATTTTCTTTTCAACATCTTTGTTGTGAATTTTTGGTGAGACAAAACGTTATTTAAATACATCAACTTTAGGAAAATGTACAGACATGTCCTACATGTATTGTTTAAGTTACATACTGATCATTAAAAGATAATTAATATATTTGTTTATAGTTAAAATGTTTTTACAGATAGTAGATATAGCTGTTTTCCAATGTTTCATCTGTAGAACTGAGACAAAAAGAAGTTATTTGAATGTTTTGTGTTTGTCATTAAAAGACAACAAACCATTTTGCTAAAATAGCCACAGACTGGATTTAATGGTATTTGACTTCTGGCTGTTAGAGGAAGGCGTGTAGCTGCAGTTTGAGCTCGACTCTGCTCCCTCCTTTTAAGTTTAAGGGATGTGAAAAACGCCCAACCTGCCAGTGACGCTGAGAGATTTGACTACTTGAATATCTATTTCCTGAGCAGTTCCTCCTCTCAGTCATAAGACCGTAGCACTCATTTCCACTTAGCTGCGTCAGGTGACTCCAGAAAGTCATGTGCTGTAAAATATGTGCATATCTGAGAGTGTGCGGGTTGGGATTGACAAAGACAGATATTACTAGCTTGTGGTGCTAGACATAAAGAGGAATGCCACTGATTCAGTCTGATGAAACAGCTTTTCTTCCCAATTAAGTTTAAATTTAGACGTTCTCTCACGTTGAGAGAAAGTAGTTTATGTTCTGATTTGTGACTTTAGTGTACAAAGGAGGAATTTTTCAAGGACATTTTGATTGATACAAAACACTGTGGTTTTACCAGAATGTATCTGTAATCTGTTGCAAAATAAAGGTTGTAACATGTTCATGTCTTGCCACTAACTTATCCTTTAAAAAGCAATATTTTTACCTCAACTTTAAGGATAAATTTGTATCAAGAAGTTCCTCATGTTTAAGACAAATACAGTAAGCAGTTCAAATCTGCTAAGCATATAGTTTATTTATTAAACTTCTCAAAAAACGAGAGTCTGAGTTCCCGTGCAGCTTCTGAGGTTTTTCTGATGAACGAAAATGTGACTCAGTTAAAAAGTTTGTTTTTTTCTTTCACCAAGCTTAAATCAATGTATTTTGTAAGATAGTGAATGCTTGTACTCTTAACTCCTTGGGCTAATTTTTGTAAAACTTAGTGGAAATGTGAGGTTTTTTTTTTAATTTAGTTGTTGTTTCTTTTCAGTCGGGACATTTCAGTGAAGATATGATCCCTACGGTCGGCTTCAACATGAGGAAGGTCACTAAAGGAAACGTCACTATCAAGGTTCAGTTTTGATCTCTCTGCTTTTGTTMAAATATCACCGTAAAAGCGTACGCTTTGTAAAAACAACCTTTTGCATTTCTATAAAATGCATTTACCTTTTGATTTGCAGATCTGGGATATAGGAGGGCAGCCGAGGTTTAGGAGCATGTGGGAGCGGTACTGTCGGGGAGTTAATGCAATCGTGTGAGTACCCAAAMCCTTTCAGCTTGTTTATATTTACGAGAATAAAGGAATTTGACAGAGAATCGAAACTTTAATGGTGATGGTCCGTTTTTAGATACATGGTTGATGCTGCAGATCGAGAAAAGGTGGAGGCATCCAAGAACGAGCTTCATAATTTATTAGACAAACCTCAGTTGCAAGGGATTCCTGTAAGTGTTCACCTGAAAGCATTTTTGTAGATCTATGTAATTTCTGTAGTAGTCATGGAAAACTTTGTGTGGTTTTGTCTAGATTCATTACTACAGTTTCAAACTTCACGAGCAACGTTGCTGTGTTTTATTTTATTTTTTTCCTTCTGCAGGTTTTGGTACTGGGTAACAAAAGGGATCTCCCCACTGCTTTAGACGAAAAGCAACTCATTGAGAAAATGTAAGTATGAATCTAGCCAAGAAAGAATTTCAATAACTTTAGCAATTTTTAATGAAAACATTATAATTTGAATGTACATTTCAATACTCAACATAATTAAAAGGTTGCATAAATCAGCACAATTGCTGCTTCTATGTGTTTAGTTAAAATTTCAGATGTTACATTTGCTGTTTATGAGCGCCCTCCACTGGCAGGTTTCAAAATACGCATCTGAATGTGCGCCTCTCTTCTTTATTTTTTTGTTTCTGTTTATAGGAATCTAGCAGCTATTCAAGACAGAGAGATATGCTGCTATTCAATTTCCTGCAAAGAGAAAGACAACATTGGCAAGTTTCCTTTAATTCCTTCAGTGTTTTGCTGTTTGTGTGGGACTTTCCACTTTATCTGTTGTTCAGCTTTTATGTGGTTGTAGAAGAACTGTAAACTTAAAACCCTGTCATATGGTTCAAATGATCTCCTCTGACTGAGTGTTTCTGTGATTGCAGACATTACACTTCAGTGGCTCATCCAGCACTCAAAGTCTCGCAGGAGCTGAATGAAGGAAACATTTTTCCAGCTGTTATTTGCCATATTACCGTCATGTCAAACCCTTATCACTCTGCAGAGCTGTACAGTTGTATATTCCTACGTCACACGCTGCTACGTTGGCTTGTTTCACACGCTTTATTTTTTTGTTTTTCCTTCTGTGATTTTTATTTTACAAGCCCAGATAATGCACTACTTAAACCTACCAGATGTAAAGAATGAATTTGGCATTATACATCTTGTGAAGCTGTACTTTAACCAAGACAAGAAACTGTTTTCTTTTACTACCTTTCACCCTGCAGGCATTAACCACATGGGTTTGTAACATACTATTATACGAGGAAGGTGTTAATGTTGGTCAAACGGGCCTCCAAAWAAGGAATGTTGCGCATATAGTCGGGTATGATGTCAGTAGGTGTCTTATTTGGACTCACAAACTTTCCTTTATCTGTCGAGCTCTTTTCAGTGATTGTTTTTGACGACTGTCACCCTTTGCTTGATAAAAGACATGACTTCTTTTTAGAAAATTGTGCATTTACGTCGATTGAAGCAGGTCTGTACAAATGTCAAGCTAGTATGATTTTTACCAATGTTGGAATGTGTGTGTATGAATATATGATTCTATTTAAAGTCTGAATGTACAAAAGATAAAAGCTGTACAGGCTTGTGTGAGTCATATTGGCCTCTGTAAAATAGCTTCAGTGGAGTAATGTTGCATCGGGGCTGAGAGCGTGGCAGAAATCAAAGTGCCTTTTTTGCAACGTCTCTCAGCCTCTGGAGCAAAGCAGCATGGAAGGTGTGTCTACCTGTGTAGAATTAAAAACACCTCTTCGATATATAATAAAGAATAAATGGCATGCTTTTTAATTTAGACACAGCTGTGTTATTCATACCCCTCTAACTGAATACTGAAGCATTCTTTATAGTTGGATTATTTATATAAAACAACTCATAAATGAAATGAGAGGAAGCAGAGAGAAAAAAAATGTTATTACATCTGCACAGTTTTTTTCCTTCAAAAATAAATTCACGCAATAAAAAATATAGTGGTTTTACAGACTCAAATTTTGCAAAAAATAAAATAAAAACGGCATCAGGTCCTTCCCATCTTGTTTGAACAACAGTTTGTTGATACATACTACATAAGTATTTTTTTTTCAATAAGCTATATTTCATCATCTTTTCAAAACATAAATTGTTATGGAAGTTGTGATATAAATATTGAGATTATTCCATAAACTTATTTATTGAATTGATGTACAAAATTCCTTTAATGGAGTTTTTTTAAAAAAGATTTCTAATCCTTTAAGATCATGTTGACTCTCTTAACAAATTTTAATTGAATATTTAAGATAAAGTATTTTTATAAGTCCTATACCTAACTCGAAAGATACTATAATTAAACAAATCATTACACTTCAATGTCAACTGATGAAATAGCCTAAAATAGGATGACCCGTGTTTTCCACAGCTCTGTTTTGTAAAAGAAAAATAATGTTTTGTAATTGTGTTACTGGCTTTTCAGCACGTTTTCAATYGAAGTTATGTTTCAGCCATAAAGTTATACAAGACAAATCTTGTATAACCAAGGCTGCAGCCTGCAGCTCATTAAGGATTAAAATAAGCAGTTCCACAGGGCTGCATAWTTTTACATCTTTTGCAATACTTATAAATACCTCCCAGGACAATTTAGGACAGTTCATTTGTCTACAAAAAGTGTCCTCACATCGTCAATACTTTTACACAGAGCAAAATATTAATTGGACTCAACTCAAGCAAAGCTTTCTAACGGTAAACGCGTTCGGATGGAACTGTAACCAAATTTTGTGTTGAAGGTTTCAGGCTTGTGGCCGTTTTCTATTGGTGCTGAAGGCTGAAGTGCCACGAAACTCAAAGATTAGTTGACAGCTCCCTTCGACCAATCAGCACATGGTCCGCCTTACTATTAGCCAATCACGTCTCGGGATCTGGGAGGGGTTGGTTTGTTGACAGGAAGCGAGCACGGCGGAATCACTACCCCACCGTGTATGTATAGTTTAGCCCGACAAAACAGCGGGCTTCGCATTTGGAGACGCCTCGAAGGTAATGTGGACTTGAATTATGCGTTTTACGATCGATTTGACGAGGCAAAGATGCAATGGAGGTCGATAGTAGTTGGTCTGGTGGTACTGAGACTCTCTGTCAGCTGGGTGCTGTGGTTAGCCTTCGGACTGGGACCGAACGTCAGCTGTGGGTTCAACTTCCCCATCAGCTTCAGTTTGCACAAATTAGACTTGTTGTTCAGGGAGGAGAAGGAAGCCGACCTGAGCGGTACTACGTGGTCTCAACGAATACAAGGCCCCAAATATGAGACGGAGACCAGCACCTGTGCGAAGGTTGGACCGGAGTCACCTCAGAGGTCCTACCTGAGCCTCTTCGACGGGAACAAGGACGAGTACGTCCGGAGATACAGCTCCTTCCCGGACACTCTGAGGGCGAAAATGAAAGGCATGGCTAAGGAAATGTTCTACTTCGGCTATGAGAATTATATGAAATATGCCTTTCCAGAGGACGAGCTGAATCCCATTGACTGTGAGGGGAGAGGTCCAGACGTCCTGAACCCGTAAGTCACTGTAAACCTGTCAAATTTAAACTGCTCTGACTCACACTTGTATTCACTTCTTAGTCAAATGTGCCTTTAGTAGATTACATCTGTCAGCTGGTTTTCACTGGTACTCAGTGCTGATGGGTTCTGTTCTTCACATTAGGAGCTGATTAATTTCACAAGTGACTGAACGTAATAACTAATCAATCGAAAATCTAAAAACAGTTTCACTAAWACTGACTTTTTGTTTTTGTTTTTCCTAATTACATTTGGCTTAGTGATGGACCAGAAATGTGACTTTTGCTTTTCCTTTGAGCTCAGCATTGCATGCTGTTTTTTTGAGGAAGTGATCAGGTTGAAAAGAAATGCCAACCTGAAMGATTTTGTGGTTCAATCTAAAGACCAAAGATGCAGCGAGCAGTTTGAAGAATAGCTGACAAGAAGTAAAGTTGATTGTTTTGTTGTGCATTCATGCCTTGTCTGATTCCATAGAATCAGTAACTGACAGCTCTTCTAATTGACGTAATGATGATACGTGTTAATTTAAGATGGTTAAAGGAATTCAAGTCCGTAATCTGTAAGAAAAAACAACAAAAAGTTCTTCATACCATCTATAACAGACACTGGAGTTGCACATTAAAAACTGAGCAACATAAAACTGGCCTACCCAGCACGCAAGACCTACAAATAAACCTTTCAAAATAAAGATCCTTCAGCAAAAGTAGTACTGTTTGATAATTTCTCACTTTATTTTATTAAAACARTTGTAATTATTCAAATAAACAAAGATGTGTTTTACATTTGACTGATAATAGTTTTGATTAAGCCTAAAGAAGTGCGYTCTACTCTTCAGTACTCTTGGTTTTCAGGTTCACTTTTTAAAAATACTCATTGTTATGTATGTGTTTTATATGAGATCACCCAAAACAAGAYAAGTCATCCAGTTACTGTAAAGACTGTATGAATATCTTTTAGGAGCTAATCTCTTTTTGCCTTAAAGCACCAGATTGTGCATGCTCATCTAAACATAGCACAAAAAAGTAAAGAAATTTGTGTTTGGTAGATTATTTCGTAAAAATGCTTCTTGGCAATAAGTCTTACACTAAAGGCCTATTATTTTCCCTTTTAACTGGTGCACATTTGTAAGGAACACGCATTTGTGGGATGAGCAGTAGAGCTGAGTATGTGGGTTAGGCACATGTAAAATTTGACATTTCCAAACAGCTTATTTTGCTGTTGTGACGCTTGTTTTGAGTTCCTGTCCCCCACCTCAGGTGCTGCCAATCAGGTGTCCGGTAAAAGATTTATTGCTAAGAAGCATCGTCACAACAAAGAAACATTTTTGTTGTGTTATTAGATTTGAAATGTGCTTTCTTTTTAGTGAATTGTTAATAATGTCTGCCAGTCATGTATGACACCACAGAGTCAGTTTAGCTGTTTTTTTTGTTTGTTTGTTTTTTTGTTTTTTTGTTTCAGGTCAAACATCAATATAAACGATGTCTTGGGAAACTATTCCCTTACTCTAATTGACACCTTGGACACGCTGCTTGTAAGTTAAAATCCACTTTCTTTATCATTTTTGTCTCTTAAACACACTGTAAAGTTGTCACAGTGTCTATCAATACAAAACTACAATGCAGAAGTGATAAATGTTTGTTAGTGTGTAACATTAGTTTGTCAGTTTATCTACATTGCATTTTGTGTAATGGTGGTTACCACTTCCTTTGCTGTAAGTTGTGGATCTTCTGATACTCAAAAGCTACGCTTCGATTAATCAGGTGTGTAAAGTATGCTACCATGTCAACCACAAAGCAGAAAATTCAGGGCGTTTCTTTTTTTTTTCGTTTTTCTTCCACCCAGCTGCAGCATTTACAATCCTAAACAAAACCTTCAGGCAGAAGAAAAGGAACTTAGTTTACTGTGGTTAAACAAGGCTTTTTGTTTCTTCAGGTGCTCGGAAATGTGACCGAATTCCAGAGAGCTGTCAAACTGGTTATAGAGACGGTTTCCTTTGACAAGGATTCAACAGTACAAGTTTTTGAGGCAAACATCAGGTACAAATGTTATTTTTCAGGCCAAATTTTAATACTCAATCTGTTACCTAGCTTCCTTTTTTGCTATGTTCATTTAAAATTGTAACATTAGACTTTATTTGATAAACATATTTTAACTGTAAAATAAAGACTGTAAAAATACTGTAGGATGTT